CAGACTTACAGGTTATAAATAATTTCATTTCCCAACAGGCCAAGAATATCAACAAATATGGGGATCTTAGGGAAAATTGTGCCAATAAAGATGCCTGATAATTACTTTGCCCACAAGAGCAATTTGAGGCTCCAGGGTGCTACAGAGCCTTAGGCAAAAGCTTACTGAAAAGCTTCAGCATGGAGGTCTAGTTTCCCCAGCACTACAAAAAGAAAGTACATGTTCACCCATAGCTCCCTTATGCCAATGGATGTAGATCATAGCCCAATAAACAATATTAACTTAATGATTTTGAAGCAGAAAACTGTGAAGTATAGTATAGAACCCAGTTCATATCTTTGGAGCAAAAAGTGACCCCCAAGAAGGAAAAACCCTGAACTTAGTTTCATTCAGTAATGAAATGAAAATCCACTGTGAGTGGGTGGAGAGAATCTCAGTTGAGGAAAACCCCTAAGTAACCACACTAGCTGATGCTTCCAGACCCCAAAATACTAAGCTTTCACTATTTCCTGTAAGAGTGCCTTTTTGGCCAAATCAGCTTTCCCCATTTTCTCTAGGCTGCCAAGGGAAGACACACTTCACCGTGCAGAGTCATGGGGAACACTTTGGCCCAGCACGGAGGCCATGGGGTCATCCTTCCCTTCCTTGGCCTGGCTTTGCAGTTAACCACTCATTCTTTCTGGAGTTCGGTTCCTTTTTTATTTTCAGAGGTAACGGTTTCCTTGATGCAATGTTTCTGCCAGAGCCTTTGACCATGCACACCTTCCTGTACAGTTCCCAGCCAGTAATCAACTCCTATTGGCAGAGGCTTGCCTGGAGGACAAGGCCTGCCTGTGAGGAAAAGGACTCCCTCCTCGGTCATTGCCATGACCCCAGGCAAAAAGATCCAAGCAGTTATGCCTGAACAGCCACCCAGGGGTTCTAGAAACCTGCCCTTTGAGAGGTGGCCGTGTCTGCCCACCGGCTTTGTCTCATGCCTCCTTCCTATATCCTTCATGTCTTAATCTCTCTTGATAGCCTGCTCCTGCCTAGGTTTTTGCCATTTCTCCAACTACCCATTCCCCCGCCTTCTCTTTTGGCATGGACAAGCTATATCCCCACTGCCCCCTTTTAATTGTTTATTTTGAGACAGGGTCTCTCTTAGTTATTCAGGCTGGGCTTGAACTGTGTAGCCGGGGCTAGCCTTGAGCTCCTGAGAAACTGTGATCACAGGCCTACACTGCCAGACTGGGCCATAGATTTTTCCCTTGCCAGGTCCCCTCCCTCTTCAGTATGCATACTATTTACTCAGGAACCCTGCTGACCGTTCCCTCTTTAGAAAGTCCCCGCCCTTGGGAGGATTCTCATTCAGCTTGTCACGACTGTGATACAAGGAGTTTGCTTTCTTCCTAGGGCAGCCATCCCTTTTGCTAGACCCTGAGCTTCACAAGAACACTGACTGTTCTCTCGCCCTTTTCTGTTACTGCCACCCACCACGATGCCAGCTATCCAGCATGCTCTGAGTGAGCACTGATTGGATGAGCCAAGGATTGACCACTGGAGCTTGGCAGCTTAGGAAGATCTGACCCGGGGCAGAAGTCAGGACACTGGTTTTGTGGTTTCCTGGTACCTCCCGAGTCAGCCATTCACAGGTGTTCAGATGAGCGGCACGAACATTTGAGAACACTAGGCTAAAACTTAAAATAGAGTTTGGAGTGGTGTGTCCCTTCCAGATCACACATTTGCTTCCCGGGCCATTCCTCTAAGTAGTCCCTGGGCATTGGCACTCAGGTGGGCACACAGGAGGATGGGCGGCCATGTCCTTGTGCTTATTGACTTCACGGTCTAGCTCAGGACTTGGTACCCATAAAGTCTCCCACGCACATAATGCTGTTTTAAATAGATCAGGATTTGGGGACAGTGACACAGTTCTCAGTTAGGCCCAGTGAGCTCCACCCTCCCTCCAGATTCTGCTTTTTCTGGAGGCAAGGAGCCCACAGAAATGAGAAGGATGAGGGGGATAGACTGGCCACAGATGGGCAGTACTGGGCAGCATTTCTGGTGCATTTTGCACTGTGCACGTGTCCTCAACAGAGGCACGGTGAGTGGTCTCCGGGGTCCTTTCATTGATGCTGCTGCAGCACACCACGTGTTTTTGTGCATCTCAAAAGGAAAATGTTTCTCTCCAGGGTCAAGTGCTTACAGCTCTTTCTGAAATATCTAAGCTCCTTAAGTGGGGGTTTCTTCTGCTGTGATACAACCCATGGTCTACACAGCATCCCCCAGGCTGCTACTGCATCGGGCTTGGGGGCCCAGTGGAAGTCATTCAGACCTGAAGTCCGTGCTGCTTGCTGTTCCTGGGTGATAAAAAGCACATTATCTTTGTCTTAATTAGTTGTAAAGGCCAACCTGACGAAGCCTACTTGAGAAGAGTGTCTCATGGAGAGATTTCCCAGATCAGATTGGCCTGTGGGTGTGACTGTGGAGGATTATCAATTGATGTAGGCAGGTCTGCCCTCCCCGGGCAGCACCAGTTCTGGGAAGATGGTCTGGTCTACAGTGAAACAGCCAGCAAGCACAGGCCAGTGAGCCAACAAGCAACATTCCTCCATCATTACCATTTTGCTTCAGGCTCCTGCGGGAACTCCTGTCCTGACTTCCCTCAATGACGGAAGCTGAAACAAATCCCTCCTGTAAACTGCTTTAGGCACAGTGCCCATCAGGGCAATAAAAAGGGCACTAGAACCATGAGACTATGGCTGCTGAGCATATGATGAAGTCCGCAGCCTTTCACGGTTACTCTCCCTGGCACATGCAAAGGCTGGGTCTCGGGAGAGGGACAAGCACAAAGCCCTGAAAGGAGATGATAGAAGTCGATTATTGAGTGGAGCGTGGTGGGAGATGGGGTAAGAGGTGGTGGTAAGCCTTGGGACCCTTAGTGTGCAAGTGCCTCTGAGGTAGCCACCCCAGGGGAGCTCATTATGGAATGAATGAGTTTAAGGGCTCTCGGGGCCAGAAGGCTTCCAGCAATCCAACACCCCCCTCCCACGAGAGAACATCTAACAAAGGAAAAGATGAAGACAGGCAGCATTTTCTTCATATCCTGTGCCCTGTTGGGCTACTCTGCACTATCTTCATCAGAAGTGGAAGGAAGCCTTCCATGCAGTGCCTCAAACAAACAGGAGACACACATCAGTGGCGCCAAAAGAAGCCAGTCACCTTAAAGAAACCTGTGGTGAACTTTGCCACACAGAGTCTAATTCAGGACTGGCCCTCTTGTGTGGTTATACAGCATAGGGCTAGAAGGTTTGGGGTGGGGGCATTGACAGGATCCTTAAGGGAAGGCTGAGAATCTATCCTGGATAACATCTGAGACAGATGGGGGACTACCTCTCCCTGGGGTTCTGGGCAAATGTTAACCACCTTTAGTAATCTTAAAACCACTTTTCGTGTTAGTGATTTATCCCTGATTGTAAGTACTCCTCCTAATTCTCCTGTAAATTAGCAAAGATATTAGGGGACCTGGCATTGAAACTCCCTAATAAGCAGCTATTGGGTTTCCCCTTGTTGTTCCTGCCTTGAGCAAAAAGACTGTCAGTCTGAAAGCCAGACAGACAGGAGGGGTGTGGTAACACATGCTTTCCATCCCAGCTCTCCTGAGGCAAAGGCAGGAGGGTCCCCGTGAGTTCAAGGCCAGCCTGGTCTATGTAGTAAGTTCCAGGACAGCCAGGGCCACACAGTGAAATCCTATACAAACAAACAAATAAGAAAGCTAGTACATCCTTATGCTAGCACCAGCCATTCTGGACCCTTCACAAGCACATTGATAAGAGGGTACAAAGATCACAGTTGATTGTTTTGATTCCTGGGGCCCAGTGTCAGTCAGAGCTGTCTCAAACAATTCATCTCAGAAATTTTTGCCTTGGTAAACTCCAGATGACCCATCAGCCATCTCCACCTCTTCAAGAAGGGAGCACTACCCCTCCTGGCCTAGCTGAAAGCTTAATGTGTTTAGTGAAACCTCAAATTCCCATTGCCTGTGAGGTGTGCTATATGACTGGTTCAAACGTAGGCTGTCCAGGAGTAGGCTGGGAGGCATCCTGTCTCCCGTTGTTGCAACTTTAGGCCCAGTAAAGGCTTCTCTTGGGTGTTCTTTTCTTATCTACTTTTAGTAGCCTGGGCTGAGTTGGTGGCACAAGAAAAGACAGCAAAGACAGCAGGGCAGCAGAAATGGGGCAGCGGGGGGGGGGGGGGTTCGGGGGCGGCAGCAGCAGTCAGGTCAAAGAGCTAGTGGCTTAACTGAAGAGGCGGGGCTAAATCTGCAGAACTGCAAAAGCAGCAAGCTTGAGGTCAGCCTGAGCTGAATCTTGACACTTGCCTTGGAAAGACAACAGTGGGTAGTGCAGAGAACAGAAGAAGCCAGGGCCACACAGAGTAGAGTGCTTGCTTTGTCTAAGCTGCTTCTTTCACTACGAGCTCTTGGAAGCCGCTGTAGGGTTTAGAGTGGGATGCCTCATTGGGTTTGGGTTTCAAAAGCATCCCTGAGAGGAAAGGCATTATTGATCTAAGAGCCTGCTGCTGCCGCTCCTGGGAGGCTCCACCACTGGCCATTATGCCCCGTGTTTACCCTGCGTCACTTCACCACAGCCTTGGGCTTACAGCTGAGCCTTTGCTGTTCTTCTGCACTGGCATTCAAAAGTGGAGGAGACAGCCTTCGGGCTCAGAGCCTTCTCAGGAATTTCTCTCTCCTGTCCCAATTTCCAGGATTCAATAATCAGCAATTGCTAAAAGGGGGGATTTGGGACCCCTCCCTCCAGCCCCCAAGGCTCTCTGGTCCTTACCTAGGATCCAGCCAAGTATGCAAACATCCAGGAAACAGAAAATCTGAGGGGAGGCCAGGCAATATAATGGTGGCCTTGTTTGGGTGCCATGGCTTACATAACCCAATTGTGCCTGCTTCAGCCTGGCGGATGGCCTGGATGGAGGGCTGGAGCCACAGACAGGAGCTGCCAGGAAAGCTGGGAGAGTCCTGGCAAGAAGCAAGCCGTGGGGAGAGGAGAAATGGCAGGAAAGTTTTGGAGATGTGACTGTCATGTCCAGGGAGGCCCTCCATCATCGCCCCTATAACCTTTCACTTGGCAGGTACCGCAAGATCTGGCCCAAGGCTTTCAAAACGCCAGGGTTTCCCAACCTCCTCCGTGGGCTCTCCGCCTCCACTGGCCGGCAGTTGGGTTTACACACGGCTCAGTTCCTGTAAGGAGGATTGTTTGGGGGTGTGGAGAGTGGAGTGGGATGGGTATAAGAAGGAAGTGTGAAGCCTGGGTAAGACACCCTGTGTAGGAAGCTGGGTACTGGGAGAGGCCACCATGGCCATCTCTGCCGAAGCCAGGACGGGTTTGAGGGTGGTGATGACAGGTCTCTAGGCTGGGTCAGGTGGGACTGTAGATTTTCAGGCGAAAGGGCTCCAAGTGTTCAAAGAGCTACGGCACAGTGGGGGTCTGGGATGGGGCAGGTGGAGCGGCAAAGCTTGAAAGGGAGGAAGGAAAGGAGGACAGCTGGCTGGAGGGCTCCCCTCGCCTGGGGAAAGGGGCAGGAGGAAGAGCAGCCACCCTCCCCTGCCACCAGGTCTGATCCTGATTTCCCCACAGGCTTTGCGGTCCTGATGCTGCTCCAGTGCTGTGAGTACCCACCCCCTCCTGGAGGAGGTCTTAGCACAAAAGAACACTCTTCCGGTTTCTTCTACAGCTCATGGGGCTTGGGAATACTTGTTACTCCAAGGTGATGGGTGTATGATATATGTTTTAGTCTCCACTCCTCCATTTATGTGGACTTTTTCAAAACAACAAAACTTAAAAGGTTCAGCTTCAGTGAAGACTGCTACAAACTGCCCTAGGGGACAGCCATCAGGAGCCACACGGGTGAGCGGGGCTCAGTCTCCTTCTACGGCCAAGTGTAAGAGGAATTAGAATCAGAACAAAGGAAGAACTAACTTCCCAGCCCCTGTGATAATGAGCCCCAGCTTGGGGACTGTCATTCTGGACAGGTCACCCCCACCTAGAGACAGAGAAGAGACCCACAAAGCCACTCTTTAATCGAAGACCCCATTGTAGGAACGAACCTGCAGGCAGGGCGTCTTTTGACACTGGGTGGCACACCCAGGCCTCTCTCCTTTTTGGAAGCCACTGTCTCCAGGAAGTCCTCAGTCCTTGGACTGAGTCACACCATTCTCGCTCAACAACTTGCATCAGGCATGGGAGGCTGCGCCAGTTCCTTTCCTTTAAGATGTTTTCAGTTTGCTCAGCACTCTGTCCCCACCCCCGGCCCACACATCCATACCACACTGGCGCTCAGTCCCACCCCAGATTTCTCCCTCAGGCTCTGCATACAAGCTGGTCTGCTACTACACCAACTGGTCCCAGTACCGGGAAGGTGATGGAAGCTGCTTCCCAGATGCCATCGACCACTTCCTATGCACCCACATCATCTACAGCTTCGCCAACATCAGCAACAATGAGATTGACACATGGGAGTGGAATGACGTGACACTCTATGGCACGCTGAATGCACTTAAAGCCAGGTAGGGCCACAGGCTGACCAGGAGAGGAGGAGGGAATAGGAAGCTAGGCTGGTCCTACAGTAGAACATCATGGTTCAGGACAGCAGTGACCCAAGAACCCTCCTGGGGGAGGACTGCCAGGGGGCCTTGGCTTCAGTGGGAAGATAACCTGGGTGGGTGATGTTGGGATGGTGACAAGGTGACAGGAAGCATCACCGAGGCTTCCAGCAACAGCTCTGTGGAGCATGGGGCCACTTGTGAGTCCCTTTTACCTCCCATTGCTCACTGTGGGGACTTCTGAGTCACCACCATGGAGCCTGTGTCCACCTACAGCACCAATGTCAGCGGCAGGTACCTAGTCCGGCCCCCCTGCGGGCAAGAACCCTTCTAGGGCTGCAGATATGGGGTCAGAGGCATCATGAAAGTGCCGCTTCACCCCCCTCTCCCCACTCTCCTGCCCCACAGAAACCCCGACCTGAAGACCCTCCTGTCTGTTGGAGGATGGAACTTTGGCTCACAAAGGTAGGACTCATCTCTGGGGCAGGATGGGGCTAGTCAAGGCTTGATGTTGAAGGTTACAGTTACTCCAGACTAGTGCGCACATAACTGCCTCCATGGCAGTTGCCTTACATGTACTTGAAAAGCCTGGGCCAGAGAGGAAGAGGGATTTAGCAAAATAAATAAAAATAAAATAAAAAATGAACATTTGTTTCCTGCAATGCTTTTTGCTTTTTTATTTTTATTTTTTATTTTTTGGTTTTATGAGACAGGGTTTCTCTGTATTGTTTTGGAGGCTGTCAGTGCAGCCTGGCCTCGAACTCACAGAGATCCGCCTGCCTCTGCCTCCCGAGTGCTGGCATTAAAGGTGTGCACCACCACCACCCGGCCTATTTTTATTTATTTTTTGATAAGTTGCCAGGCTTGCCTCAAATTTACCACAGAGACCAGGCTAGGCTAAAACTTTGGACAATTCTCCTGCCTCAGTCCCCAAGTGCTGGGGTTGTGGGCATGTGCCAGTGTGCCTAGCTCTTGCAAATCTCTTCTTACTGTATCTCAGGTGTGGGGAAAACAACTTCCAAGTTACTACCATGAAGGTTGGGAGGGGTGGGAAGGAAGCAATGAGGATGGAGAGGGTTGAGACTGTTACAGGGGCCTTGGACTCACCAGAGCAGAACCAGGGCAGTGAGGGGGCTGGAAGACCACCAGGACTCTCCCTGCTGCTGTGTCAGCCACAGCATCAAGTGTTGCAGTTACCCTACTTTACAGACAGACAGAGTGACTCGGGTTGTAACAGGCAGGCCAGACTGGGACACTAGGAAGGTCTGGCCCCTAAGTATATACCTGTCCAAGTTCCCAGACTGGGTGCTGACCCCGGAAGGCTCTCGTAGATCAATCAGTTCAGGCCCCCTGCTCCCTCGCCCTGGCAATCCCATTGCGGGGACAGGGTCCCTGGTATATGAGCGTCAAGCTCATTCTGTGGTGGTTTTGTTCTAGATTTTCAAGGATTGCCTCCAACTCTCAGAAACGCAGGACTTTCATCAAGTCGGTTGCCCCATTTTTGCGGGCCCATGGCTTTGATGGGCTTGACCTCGCCTGGCTCTACCCTGGCCCAAGAGACAAGCAGCATCTCACCACCCTGATCAAGGTGCTTGGCATAGGGCAGAGGTGTGGGGAGGGCATCTGCACATGGCTAGTGAAGCTCTCTTCACCCAAGAACCTTCCAGGGATGAGCAGAAGGGCTTCAGAAGGAAGACATGTTAGAGCCACTGTGGGAGATGGGGCAGAGTCCTAAGAGGCCAAAGCCTGTGGCTTAGCAGGGTGCCCACTCTCCATTACCTATTGCCCACTTAGTGAGGTGTCCATTGTCTTATGTACAATTCCAAACTGATGTCACCAGCTAGCCAACATGCACTGTGCACACAGCTCAATCTGAAGGCCAGGTACCTCCAGTTTTCAGAGGCAGAGATGGTGTAAACAAATCATTTGCAGTACCACGGAGAATCTCTTTGACCTTGTAATTTCATGTAAAACAAAATGCAGACTGAGAGGCCTGCCTGGCGTTCAGGCAGAGTGAGTGGTCTGCCCCAGTCCTATCCCCAGACACCCTGAGCTCTTGCTAAAATAGGATTTGAGAGCTGGGGAAGTATGATGGCCCCTCCAGGGCAGGGAGTCATTAAGTGCTGATGGGTATGTGCATAGGTTTTGAGAATGATATTGATCCAAACTGGGTGTCTATGTGTGTGTATGTCTATATGCAAGTTTGAGTGTGTGGGGTGTGTGTGTGTGTGTGTGTGTAAATGTGCAAGTACAAGGGTGTATGCACATATGTGCAAAATATGTGTGGAGGCCAGACTCAGGTGTCATTCCTCAAACACTATCCGCCTTGTTTTGTTCTTTTGAGATAAGGGTTCTCATTGGCCTGGAATTTACCAAATAGAGTAGGCTGACTGGCCATTGAACCCTGAGGATCTGCTAGCCTCCACTTCCCCAGTACTGGGGTTACAAGCACACACCACTCTGCCTAGCTTTTTATTCTTTTTGTATGGGTTCTGGGAATCAACCTCAAGTCGCTATTTCCCCAGCCACTCACTCTGCCTGACCGCCAGGCAGGCCAACGACCACAGCAGGTGGGAGGTCATCAAGTCAGCCAGGACCTTGATCTACTCTCATCTGCCTCTCTCTCACGCACCCGGCCCCTTTCCCTTCCCTGCTTGCCTCCACTCAGGAACTAAAGGCCGAATTCATAAAAGAAGTTCAACCAGGGACAGAGAAACTCCTGCTCAGCGCAGCGGTGTCAGCAGGGAAGGTGGCCCTTGACAGTGGCTACGACATCGGCCAGATATCCCAGTGAGTCTCCTGCCCTGGCAGCACCCCAGAAGCCTTACAGGCACCCTCTTCCCCTGCCACCTGGACCCTAGCATCCCATGAAGACTCAGGAGTTCCCAAATGTTGATACATAAATGTTGGCAAGCCTCTCCATGACTCAGTTTCCCAATTGTTAAAGGGGCCACGATGAGCCCTTTTACACTTGGAATGTTGTTGGCCAGTTGAGAGAGTGGCTATGAATGAATTTTGAAAGAGGTAGTAGAAATAATTATACAGTGTACCAGACACTCCATGGTGTTCTCTCCATGCTAAGCCCAGCAGAGTGCTTGATCAGGGAGAGGCAGCCAACCCCCAGAAAGCTGTCAGACTGCTCCCTTTCCTGTCATCCATCCCTTTCTCCTTACTCATGAGTTTGAAGTGCCAACAACCACACAGCATCTCTCCCTAGGGCACAGGCAAGTCACGGGAAACCCAGGAATAAGGAACAAGGATCTTCAGTCCCCCTTAGGACCTTAGGGATGTAGTTAGTCTGGTGTTATAAACGTCCCCTGGGAAAGAGATGGTGCACCCATTTGTTCTGAATCTCTGAAGCTCACACACTGCCTTCTGCCTACAGCCCCTTCTCCACAGGGCTGTTGAGCACTCCCTCCCATGAATGAAGGTAGGCTGAGTCGGACTTTGATCCTGCTCCTTCCGTACTAGGCTGTCCATGGCACTTTTAACTGGCTTTTGCCAAGACAAGCGTGTCAGGAATGGGGGCTGAAGTGAGGCAGAGAACAGCTCCCGTGAGTGTGTATGTGTTTGAGCACGTGTGTGCATGTGTGTGTGCACGTGTGTGCCTGTGTGTGCTGGGAGCCTCACAGATCAGCCCATTCTCACCCTCAGAGCACCACCAGGACCCAGAGCCCACACTTGGGAGTGGCTCTGGAAAAGTGGGCTAGTAGTCAGAATGGCAGTCTCTGAAGCTACTGGCTTTGGGTCAACGTCCTGTTCCTCAGATGCCTACGTCCCATATCCTGCTGGAACTTGGCTGTGAAGTCAAGAACATTTCTAATTTCCCACCTTACCTCCAACTCCTTTTTCTCAGACACCTGGATTTTATTAGTCTCATGACCTACGATTTCCACGGAGCCTGGCGCCAAACCACAGGACATCACAGCCCCCTCTTCCGAGGCCTAAAGGACGCTAGCTCTGACAGATTCAGCAACGTGGTAGGTTCCTGGAAGGATGATGGGAAGGAGACACAAAGCCCTGCCGCCTGCCAGTGCACAGACAGCCACCCTCCTCTCTTCCCCGGTCCATTGCTTATCAGATAGGTTATGAAAGCCATTTCACAGATCAGGAAACCGAGGAAAGTCTTTCTGGGTAGACTGAGGGAAAGCAGGAGGGGCCGAATGAAGAGAGGTTGGAGACTTGCAGGTTGGAATCTCACTGTGCAGCCTGAGCCAGCCAGCCAATTTCTGTGTCTGTCACACATTAATAATCCTTTCTTATGCCTACAAGGAGCTTTTCAAGAACAACCTTTAGAACTCATTCTTTTAACTGGCATTATCGGTTCCCAGAGGGACAGGGATTCCCAGTTGCACCTTATAACTGTCACCGCACCTGTCAAGGTAGCAGTATTAATTGTACAGCCATATCTGCACACCACCCAGCCCAGCTAACTGTTTCTGCCATCTCTGTCTTACCCCAGGACTATGCTGTGGGGTACATGCTGAGGCTGGGAGCCCCGGCTAGCAAGCTAGTGATGGGAATCCCCACTTTTGGGAAGAGCTTCACTCTGGCATCTTCTGAGACCGGGGTGGGAGCTCCAATCTCGGGGCCAGGATTACCAGGCCGGTTCACCAAGGAGGAAGGAACCCTCGCCTACTACGAGGTAGGTAATGACGCTGCTTCACAGGCTGCCCCAGGGAAGAGGGGCCTCGCCTCCCTAACCACACACACTTTCTCCTTTGGGAGTAAAAACATGCTTGTTTGCCCTAGCATTCCCTAGGAAGACGAAAGGGAAGCTTAAACCTCTTATCCCTGAAAGCCTCCAGCAGGCACCAAGCTCCTAGAATATTCCCCTGGCCTCAGACCCAGGGTCTTCACTCCAGTCCAGGAAAAGCAATGGTCAGAGTCTCTGTGGGTGCAGGTCTCTGATGCTCCAAGTGGTCTGGGGCCAGCCCTGGGTATCAGCTCACATTCCTCACATCCCCGTTAAAGATGGAGGAGGCAATCATATCTCCAAAGCATGCAGGCAACAGCAGTTGAACTCTGGGACATTTGCATCTGTTTTTCATAAATTTGCATGAAGCCTGCAGCCTGTAGCCTCAGGAGAGGGAGGCTACAGGACTGAGGGATGACTGCTAGTGACCTGACAAGCCTCCCCCCTTCACCCCACCCGTTCTCTTCTCAGATCTGTGATTTCCTCAAAGGAGCCCAGGTGCATAGAATCCCTGGTCAGCAGGTTCCCTATGCTACCAAGGGCAACCAGTGGGTGGGGTACGACGACCAGGAGAGTGTCAAAAACAAGGTAGGTGTCCCGGAAGCCACACCCCAGAACAAAGAAGGTGAATAGGCCACGTTCCAAGTAGCTAGATTTGCTCTCCTGGGCTAGGGTTGAGCCTGGGTGTAGGCGTGTGTGTGTGTGTGTGTGTTGGGGGGGGGGTCCTTTGGGGAAGGGCCCCAGAGCACCTCACCCAGACAACCAACCCTGCCTGCTCACCAACCCTGCCTGCTCCCGACCTCCTCCGCCAGGTGCAGTACCTGAAGAGCAAGCGGCTGGCAGGAGCCATGGTGTGGGCGCTGGATTTGGATGACTTCCGGGGCTCCTTCTGCGAGCAGAAGCTACGCTTCCCACTCACCAGAGCCATTAAGGAGGCTCTTGCTATGGCTTAGCTCCTTTCCTACATGGTACCTCACATCCTCTGGCTAGGAGTCTGGCCACTTGCACTGCTAAGTCCCCCAGCTGGGCCTCAGGCTCCCTATCTCGTAGGGGCCACAGCATTGAGGTTTGGGCTCAGCCCTGGGGAACAGAGAAGTAGGGTAGGTCATGAGAGTCACAGTGTGAGATGAGGTTCAGTGCATCTCTGCTGAGGAAGGGAAATTCCCAGGCTCTAAGCCCAACCCCTCATTCCTTCGGCTCTCCGGACCAAAGGACACCATTTTGGCAGGTTATACCACCAACTAGGCAAACATCTTACAAGATGCAATGGCCATACTAATTATACCCTCTGCAAAGCCCAACTTGAAACCTTCACTTGGGAACATAATCGTATCGCCATCCCACTTCCCTTTCCTAATTCCCCAGCTGTTCAATAAAGCGCAAGAGCTTAGCAGTGTGTCTTTCTTGCTTTAGTCGTCTCTATGGGTACATGGGACCATGGCACTCACCTCCCCTATCTTTTCTGGATTCCTCTCTCTGATACTTGGGAATCAGAGCTGACAGAAGTGAGGTCGTTTTTTTTTTTTTAAGATTTAATTATTTATTTTATGCATATGAGTGCTTTATCTGCATGTATGCCTGCCAAAAGAGGGCATCAGATCCCATTATAGATGGTTGTGAGCCACCATGAGGTTACCAGGAATTGAACTCAGGACCTCTGGAAGAATAGTCAGTGCTCTTAACCTCAGAGCCATCTCTCCAGCCCCCAAAAGTGATGTCTTGATGCCCTGTGCTGGGCCCTAAGGAGCCTCAATGGGAGGTGATATCCTCAGACTGGGTGGGAACTCAGTCTTTACATAAGCATGACCAATAGCAACCTAGATACTAAAGCCATCATCCTGCAGACTTCCAATTAAGTTCCCCATGGAAGGAGACTGTGGCAGGGCCTTGGAAAGAGGCTCTTTAACCTAGCTCATTTCTCCTGATTCTCTAAAGGTGGAGAGAGACAGTCACAGGACATAGTTAGAAAGTTCAGGAACCTGGAACATTAAGGCCAGAAAGGAAGGCAGTGCTTTCATGTCCCCTTCCTGCTGGGGGTCTCTCTGGACCCCTGAGAGTTGGCCTTCTAGCCTCATACTCCTAAGTGTCCCAAGGTTCATTATCTTAAAGACAGTCTGCCCAGCAGCTGGACTGAAAACTGTCAACTGTTCGGTGCTGTCCTTGTCCCCAGCTGGTCCTCGTACTGCCCCCTTCACGCTGTTCCCTCAGCTCATGAAGAGCAAAGCTTCCTTGCCCCAGCTGGCCCGAGACAGCAGTCGAGGAAGAGGCATCAGTGTGGGCTGGGAAGACAAGCCAGTTTTCCAGCCTTTGGGAGGAGGGGACACTCTCAACAGGGTCTTGGGGACTTCCAGAGCAGACATGACTTTATTCAGGGAGCCTGGGTGGGATGTATTCTAAACCGACTGGGATTCTATCTGTGGGTTCTTTGATGTTTGGGTTATCTGACTTGGGATAATCATTAGATGGCTTGATGTTGGTGACTCTACATTGAGGCATAAGGAAGCCAATACCAATCTGTTGCCCTGAAATCTGAACCAGTTGGAGCCGGGCACATGCAGCCGTTTCCAAGGTTACCACTCTGTGAAAGGCAAGGTGCTTGGCCAGGGTCTTAGGGGTAGAGGATGCCTGGCATCTCATGCTGGCTAGTGGACCAAGCGGTCCCTAACTCCTGCCCACTGCCCATGTTACCACACAAGGTCTTTGAAACCTCAGGACTCCCCTGGGAAGCTCCCTGTCCCCTGAGGCCCCCCTTCTCCCAGTTTGGGACAGGTTCTCAGGGCTGACTCAGGGTCCTGCCGGGTTAGTCACATTCACTTATAGCTGCAGAGTCAGAAGCCAGGGTGAAGATCGGCTCTCTCTTCCCAGCACAACACTGAGTCACCTCTCAGAGGACATGGACACCCAGGCAGAGTTGAACCCAGAGAGGCATCAAGCCCTCCGCTGACACTCCATAGGAGGACAGTTGGGGCTGAGAGGCAGCCACACTGCTGTGCCACTGTCCTCAAGAAGAGGGAGAGACACAATGCTGTTGACAGCCCTAAATAAATTACAGGTCCATTTATTCCTAAATTGTGGGATGCAACATGCCTACTTATGAGTGTGTGAAAGATAGTCATCTAATTCAAAGAGCTTCTGTGTATTGAAGGGGAAGCAGACCTCAGTGACGTCACGTGTGTCCTTGTCCCCTCACCCAGAGGCTGTCACTGGAGGCTAACCTTAGCCTAGCCTTCCTTTTTATTTGGCTACCACCTATGGATGCTCTTTGAAGACCGAGCTTCCTGTGGCTCTGGGTTTGGATTTCAAGGACAAAATGATCATCGTATGTCTGTGATCCATCCTTTGGTCTGTGAGATCAGCTAGGGTGTCTCATCATCATCTGGCTTCTGCTTTAGGACTACGTAACTGCTCCAGCTGTTTATCCACCCCATGTTCAAAGACAGCCATTCCCCTGAGACTTGCACTGTTACAAGTGATACCTCCACAGACAGTCTCACCCCTGTCTCCTGGGAGTCCAGAGGTGGATGCCTAGAGCCACCAGCTAGGTGCATTGTTATGGCCACCAATCCCCTGCCTCCTTTTTTCATTCATTGCTCTGATCTACACTCCCACCCACAGTGAAGATCTTGACTGCTCCTCCTTCTTCCCAACACATGGTATTTTCTGGATTCCAAATTATTAGCAATATTAACATCTTGAATAAATGATTCAGTGGCTACGAATTTGGCTCTAGTGGCTCCATTTTCCTCACTGGGAAGGTCTGTGCCTATGTCCCTCTTTGAAGAGGCAAGTCTGCTTGTTTTATCCTCTAGGGTGGGGGTTCTCAGTAGGCTTGGGGATTAGTAAAATCAGGGGCTTCTCAGCCTTACCACAGAAACAGGAACAGGCTTACTTGGTCCTTGCTACGGTTTGAATGCTCCCTCTAAAACTCCTTTAATTGTCACTAACAGCATTAAGGTGTGGGCCTTTAAAGAAGTGATTAGGCCCTGGGACACTTCCTCGTGAGTTAGTTAGTCATTATTAAGGAGTGGGTTAGTTACCTCCAGAGTGGGAACTTGATAAAAACCACGAGGAGTTCACTTTCCTCTGCCTGGCTTGCCCAATCTCTGTATTCTGGCTCAGCACAAAGCTCTTTACTGGACACAGGGGGCATGGTCTTAGACTCCTCAACTTCTAGAGCCATGAGAAAAGTCACCCTCTATTGTTCATAATGCACAGGGCCTATGGTGGGACATTACAGCAGCTGAAAACTAATAGTCAGTCCCCTTTCCCAGGATTCGCACTAGAGCACTTAGCTCTGGCCAGCCTCACCTGGGGCATCTCAATTCTCGTCTCTATGGGGGCCTTAGCTTTACACAGGCACAAGTGAGAGTTTCCCAGAGACTGGGGACCAAGGTAGCAAGCCTAGGTCAAGCATTCTTAACTCCAGGCTCCACTACATGGATGCTCAGGCCCAAGGGGGCCCTGAGGAAACCAGACTCATGGAACTGACTTGGTCTCCTTTTCCAGATGGCCAGTCTCATTTCCCAAGCCCAGCGATGTCCCCGTTCACCTATCTTTGCCCTCGTAGATCTGGGCACTGGCACCCTGGCTGTGAGGTCTAGCTGGGGTGATGGCGAGGTAGTATGCTCCTTAAGGGGCCCTTGCAGTTCCTCCCCCAGAGCTATTCCTGGCCTGGGTGCTCCCTGCCCCCATCCCCCTGCCTGACCTGACCCCACAGCTGGGAATGGTTTGCTGGGGGGTGGGGCAGCCCCTGCCTATTTAAGCCTGGACCCGGGTCTCTCAGGCACCCTGGAGGCCCAGACTAACTGCTAACCTTTAAACACTCCAGCTTGACCCCCACCCCCCAACCAGCTCAGAAATGACAGGAAAAACCACCTCTGAGGCTTCTGTCTCTAGTCCAGCGGAGACAGAGCCTGAGCCTGCCAAGGTACCCACCACAGAGTCTTCTGGAGAGGAGGCAGCATCAGACTCCACGGGGCAAGGGCAGGCACCAGAGCCACAGAAGCTTGGATCTCAGGCGCTGGACCCTGCAGCCCCTGAAGCTTCTGCCACACCTGCAACCACTAAGCCTGAACCTCCAAGCGAAGGTGACTAGAGGCGGGGGCAGGTGGAGAAGGGAGGCAGGTGTCCAGGGAGGGGCTCCTCACCTACCCCGTTTCCCCACTCCCAGATGTCCCCAGTGCCCCGTTGCAGCTCACCTTGGAGGACGTGAGCCATAGCTCCTTGACGGTGAGCTGGGAGCCCCCCGAGAAGCTGGGGAAGCTGGGGCTTCAAGGCTATGTATTGGAGCTCTGTCGAGAGGGAGGTGAGTACCAGACTTACTACCGCTTCCATTCAGCTGAGGTGGGCCAGGACAGCAGGGATAAGCCCAGTCCCCACAATGGGTCAGTCCAAGGGAATATAAAGGGAGAAGGTGTAAGCAGTGGTCTTTACTGCCTGGCTACACCCCTGCTCTGTAGGGACCTCTGCAGGAAAAGAGGTTCAGTGACCTCAGGAGACCTCCCATCCTCCAGCTCCAGGGAACCTCTGAGTAATAGAGGGGTGGGAGACACTGATATGACAAGAAGGAAAGGAGGTACTAAATCTCAAAAGACCTTTCTCAGGGGAGTCAACCCAGGAGACAGAAGGGAGCAGGAGACCGAGGAGGGGACAGTAAAATGAGAGGTAGTGAAGAGAGTTAGGGAAAGTAGCCCCTGACAGCCACACTCAGCCTGGCTTCTGTCTCTGCCCCTGCCTTGCCCTGTGCGACTTGGTGAACGTGCCCAAGCTTCTGTGGCCACCATCCCAGAGCTCTAACACCAGCTATCTTTGATGTTACTTGATGCTACAAAATCAGGGAAGGGGGCAAGAGAGACTATGGCCCAAGAGCGAGGTCAACCTCTGTCCATCACCCTTGAGAAGGAAGGAGGTCCCTGCCGCATCACTAAGACCCAGACATTCTCCACTGCCCTCAGCCTCAGAATGGGTGCCTGTGAATCCCCGACCTGTGATGGTGACCCAGCAGACGATTCGAAACCTGGCCCTGGGAGACAAGTTCTTCCTGCGTGTGACTGCAGTAAGCTCCGCAGGGGCAGGCCCCGCAGCGGTGCTGGACCATCCTGTCCACATCCAAGAGATCGTTGGTAAAGCCCCTTGCCTCTTGTTCACAGACTGGATGTAATGGGGAAACTGAGGCCATGGTCAATGGGAGCCGGGCAGCCATTTCCCCCATCTCACACTCACATGCACAAGCCACATGCTAACGTGTCTTGCCTTGTGAAAGATTCAGGTTCTTCAGCAGCAAGAGGAGGTCCAAGGAGCCCCCCTCCACCACCACCGCCATCAGGGAGCAGCTCCTTGCTGCCCAGAGATGAAGCTCAGGCTCCCAGTCTAATCTTAATCCCTGAAGCCATGAAGTTGCCTTTCTATTTCCTCAAACCTGGGCTCCAGGCTCCCCAGAGTCTCTGGAACACAGGGAAGCCCCCCATATCCCCTGCTGTACCCTGACCCCATAGAGAAAAGGAGGTTGTGAAGGCTCTTTCATCCCCAAAGGGCATTGCTTCTGGGAGGACCTAGAGGCCAGCTGCTGTCCCTGTTGCTAATATTTCTATTTGCAGGGTGCGTTAGCCTTAGTCCCCCTACTCCCCTCCCAAAGCTGCTCAAGTTTCAGACTGTTAATGACAGTGAGTCATTTGGTCTGATCTCAGGTCTCTGGGGACAGTGCAGGGCCCCAGGGTGAAGAGAGACATGGGCAAGCAGGTGGTCTGAGACCTTCTCCATCTTCCTTCTTGTTCCTTGAGGGATGGACGGAGGCTGGAGATAGAGCCTCCATTTCCAGACCAGGCATCTGGGAAGAGAGGCAGTTCAGCCATACGAGGGCTCAAATTTGAATTCAAGGGAAAACACTGTTTTAAGGTCTGTCACCTCGGAAGACCAGAACCCAGGTCCTCATAGTTGATTCAAACCAGGCAGATCCCAAAGGGCCCAGAGACCTTCACGGAGAAACCAATCCTCCAGTAGTCTCAGTTTCTGACACCCACACAGGACTGTTCACAGCCACCAAGCTGCTCAACATCTGCTCTGGTGGTTTTCAAAGGCCAGGACATTATCTGGGTGAGATACACCTCCCCCCAGCCACGTGAACAGCAGGATGCCTGTGCTGACTCCAGCCTGGAGGTGCTAGGAAGTCCTTCTGGTTGGCAGAGTCCCAGACCTTTCCCCAGGGCCCCAAGAAATTCAGACTCTGTTGAAGGAGCAAGCCAGACTCAGTACCCACCTCTCCATTAAAATTCCTCTGGCAGCAGAGAAGGGGATTTCCTGGAGAGGAGGCTACGAACAAGCAGGGAACAGCCGGACCTCTCATGGGCTGGGCCGGGCAGGGTGGGAGCCTTGTTCGGGATCCTCAGCTGCTCAGCTGTCCCCCCTCTTGGCCACCTGGAGCTGCCAGGCATGCCTGACCTCCTGGAGAGGTCCCTGGAGCATTCCAGACCATGATGCTCCCCAGCCAAGTGCCTGCTCAGCTTATCCTTGGAGACACAGTGTTCCTTCTTACTATGTCCTCCTACATGCCGCTGACCAACTGCTGCCACCTGTTTACTGCTCAGGAGGCTCAGGCTCGGTCCCCACACTACCCCCCAGGGACAGGATTGGCAGCTGCTGCAGTTTCCCTTGGAGTGCCCAGTGGCACCTGACTAGGCCATAGTCAGGAAAGTGGTTCCTACCAGAGTAGGAGGCTGACCACAGACTTCAGGAAGGACCACCGTGTCAATGGGAGACTGAGAGGGCCAGCAGGGTAACGGCCTTAGCTTCTATACAGAGAGCCTGAGTCTGCCAGCAGGCCTGGAAGCAGAAACCTGAGCAATAGGTTCCACAGTCTCAGAACAGTCCTGGGTCCCTGGCGGTGTATGTGCGGAATCAGCGGGAAGCTAGCACACTCATTCCTTCTCCAGGCATATGATCGGCAGGTGCAGAACCTGCCTTCCTCCAGGGGGAGACAGAGAGCCATCCAGATCCATCTGGAGCTTGAGAATGACCGGGCCTCAGGGTAAATCCCAGCCTGGCAAGGTTGAGGCGCCAAGAGAATGCCAGAGATACCAACCAGTTCACACTGTAGAGTCCCTGACCTCTCTGGAGTCTCTCGGGGCCTTAAGGGATTTGGGTCCCTCAGTCTGAGCGTTGAAGGCTTTGTCCACCCAGCGAAGAGGCAGCCCAAACTCGTGGGAACATACTAAGTAGGAGCTGTCCTGTCTATCCAGGAACCCACACTTGCTTTCCTCTTCTCCTGCCCCAGAAGCCCCCATTCAACTGGGCTAAGCCCGGACACTTCCTTTCATGCAGAAGCGCCCAAGATCCGTGTTCCCCGACACCTTCGGCAGACCTACATCCGGCAGGTGGGAGAATCTGTCAACCTGCAAATCCCCTTCCAGGTAAGCATGCCTGTGTGTCAGGAGAGACCTGGGAATGTCAGGATTCTCACTGGAGTCTGCCTGGGACCCATGGGATGGCTGCCTTCCCAGTTTTGCATATAATTCAGTTGTGAGTGGACAGATTGGCAGCCGCCAGGGCAGGCCACACACTGGAAGACATGGTTCTGGCCAGCAACTGTGGAATCAGTGGGACAGGTTTCTCAGGCACTAGAGGGGGGCAGTGGGGTGCTTATACCAACCTGCATTTACCCCCTCTTTGTCAGGGGAAGCCCAAGCCACAGGCCTCTTGGACCCACAATGGCCGTGCCCTGGACAGCCAGAGGGTAAATGTGCGTAGCGGGGACCAGGACTCCATCCTGTTTATACGCTCTGCTCAGCGCTCAGACTCGGGCCGCTATGAGCTCACTGTGCATCTGGAAGGCTTGGAAGCCAAGGCCAACATTGACATCCTAGTGATTGGTACAAGGGCAGGGGGAAGGGGCTATCTCAAAACCCTTGCCTCCCGCCTCCCATCCCAGACCTGCTGGTGGTTGAGGGAAGGCTAGGGTGTCATGGCAAGCGCCAATTAAGTGTGGGGACTTTGTAGCAGGCCTGCTCCTCCTCACTTCCCTTCATCATCTGGTTCTGCAGAGAAGCCCGGGCCCCCGAGCAGCATCAGGCTACTGGACGTCTGGGGCTGCAACGCTGCCCTCGAGTGGGCTCCACCCCAGGACACAGGCAATACAGAGCTCCTGGGCTACACTGTGCAGAAGGCAGACAAAAAGACAGGGGTGAGGCTGGCTGGGGCGTAACAGGGATGGGAAAGAACGGGTCCAGGACAAAAAGGTCCACGCCACTAAGACTAGACCAGCTGCTGCTGCTGACTGGCTCCTTGTGTGGTCCTGGGCGAGCCTGTGCCCTCTCCATACTTCAGTCTTCCGGGTGCACCGCACCGGGCTGCAATGGAGCTATCTGATCATGAGCTGCTAGATGTAGACTCTGAGGCAGGCGGTTGGGGCTGGTGCCCAGGTAATGAGGCTGCATGTCTGCCAGCCACACTTTGAGTAGTGAGGCTCTTGAGCTCCTGAGTGGCCCAGGGAGTCCCTCCCCTACTTCCAAGTCCCCCAGGCCCAGTGTTGGGTGGCTCAGCATCCCAAATCTGGAACATGGAATGAGCCCCTCTGAGGGGGATTAGGGTAAGCGGGAAAGACAAGAACTGGGTAGGGGCTGAGGGATAACCCAGCCGTGGTCCCTGTAGCAATGGTTCACAGTGTTGGAACGTTACCATCCCACCACCTGCACCGTCTCAGACCTCATCATTGGCAACTCGTACTCCTTTCGGGTCTTCTCAGAAAACCTGTGTGGCCTCAGTGATCTCGCCACCACCACCAAGGAGCTGGCTCACATCCAGAAGGCAGGTAAGTGGGCTTGAGCCTGGGCAGGAGACCAAATCAGGACGGGTACACCAACGTCTGCCACCACTTCTTCCGTGTCCCCACATCCCTCTAGGCCTCTCCTCAGTCACTGCTCCCTGGAACGTTTGCCCCACCCCCACCCCGCTCACACTCCACAGCTCTGCACGAGCGTATGTGCAAACGCATGCACACACTGACATGGCGTGACCCACAGATTTCAGCAAACACCAGAGCAAAGCCATGCAAATGAGCAGTGTCCCCTCGGGAGGCTCTGTGCTTATTCTAAAGATGACTGTGGCTTCTATCATCCCAGAAGTCACCGGGTCTCCTGCAGTGTCTCCAGGCATACGCTCTGAAGGGTAGCGTGTACACAATAGGCAGCCTGGCAACCTGTAAAGACAGACCCACCTAAAAACTGACTGTGGTATTTACTGTCTCCATCAGGCATCTGATCAGTGGGGCCAAACTCCAGCACTCCACCCTGACCCGGGCCTGTCCCAGATCCTCCCCACAACGTGCATACAGTGATCCTGGAAGCCACACTCTCGTTGTTAACTTTAATTACATTTATTTGCGTGTGAGTGTGTGTTCACATGCATGCACGCATGTGGACTCTAAGGACAACTTGTCAGTTCTCTTCTACCTTCTGGGTCCCAGGGATTGAACTCAGAGTGTCGAGCTTGGTGGCAAGCGCCCGTATCCACTGAGTCATCCCACTCACCCTGGAAGCCACGCTTTTGAACATCAGTCGGAGCAGCACAGCCATAAGAGTTTTGTGTTTAAAATGGAGGAAAGTTACTCAGGTCTCAAAGACAGACAGAAATGGAATGATGTTCGGTTTCTGCGCACTCCCCTGCGGCTCTGGTTTTCCAGCCCGCCCACTCCTCTCTGTTCGCTTCCTGACCTGCCTCAACTCTGCTCAGCTAGGCTTTCTCTAGTATCTGACAGTTTCCACATGTTGACCAGGCTGAGCTTCCCAAAGTTTGGGGGTTGAGGCCAGTGTTCTGAAGTCCCCTCCACTCCTATAACCTCAAATTCTCCCCTGAACCCAGACATTACTGCCAAACCTAAGGGGTTTATTGAGCGAGACTTCTCAGAAGCCCCGTCGTTCACCCAGCCCCTGGCTGACCACACCTCCACTCCTGGCTATAGCACACAGCTATTCTGCAGCGTTCGAGCATCACCTAAGGTGAGGGGCCTTGGGTGCGGAGGGGGCGTCAAGGGCAGTGGGGTTGAGACTATCTCTTGAGAGCTGGTTCCAACTATGTTGCCACATTGTTATCCTTCATCCGTCCTTGCCTCCAGCCCAAGATCATCTGGATGAAAAACAAGATGGACATCCAGGGTGACCCCAAGTATCGCGCAGTTTCTGAACAAGGGGTCTGCACCCTGGAGATCCGGAAGCCCAGCCCCTTTGATTCTGGAGTCTACACTTGCAAGGCCATCAACGTGCTAGGGGAGGCCTCTGTGGATTGTCGGTTGGAAGTCAAAGGTGGGAGTCTGAAGATTTCCTTAGTTCCCAGTCACTGGGGACAGATAGAGCCCATCTTTGTCACTGGGGACAGATAGAGCCCATCTTTGTCACTGGGGACAGATAGAGCCCATCTTTGGAGCTGGACTAGACACAGCTTAGAGTGGTAACTGGAGACAAAGAGTAGGGAGGGGTCAAGGAGAGTTTGTGTGACTTCCAGGTGGGAAGACACTCTCTCTAGTTGGGGACTGGAGCACTGGGAATCATTGACCTCAAGCCTCTCAGGGTCTAACCTGTAGGATCTCTTTCAGCCTCCGCCACACACTGAGAAGCACTATGGGCAGAGACTGGGACAAGGAGACAGGTGAGTGGAGGGACCCATTCCTTTGGCTACCTCCAGTGACAGCATGGTCAAAGAGGAGACTGGGAAGGAAAATCTACTTCCCAGGCACAAAATGTCACTGGAGAGGGGCTGGGTAGGGATGGAAGGCAGTAGACACATCTGGGTACAATTTTGCAGCCAAAGACAACTAGCATTCATGTTCAGTTTGGAAACGTCAGTGTAGGGCTGGGCAGTGCTGGTGAGGTCCGCAAGGGAAGGGAAGTGGGTGGTCACAGGACAGGGTCTAGCCTCGGCTCTGAGTGATTGTAAACATAGGTATTCTCTTTGCACCTTTCTCGTAGTAGGGACCCAGCCCTTGCCCTGACTTCTGCATTTGGTGGCTCTGGGGCTTTGAAGAACTATGACGTCTCTAGAGCTACACTAGGGAGAGGTCAGCATTGAGAACTGAGGCTGAGGAAGGACAGAGAAGGGTGGAGGTGGTTCTCCATCTGGCTCCCCAACATCTCTCTGGCAACCCGTCCACATACCAGGGCTCAGAAGGGCATTCTCTGCCAGGTTCTGCAGGCCTGAGGATCAGGCCCCCAGGCCCAACATGTCTCTCCATGGATACCCAAGATCATGGGCCTCTGATACCTGCAGACCTCTCTCCATGAGAGGCTGGAGTCCAGACCAAGAACTGGGTTTGTTAGGCCTGGGGTCAGGCCTCCTGGGTTACAAGAGTGCCCCAAAGGAGCAAAGACTGGCACCCCCTGCAGAGCTGTACACTGGCGAGAAGTAGTCAAATAAATGTGTGTGGTGTCATAGCACACTGTGGCGGTGTGTGTCGCGGCGAGTGGGTATGCTATGCTGCTGTGCGGGGGGAGACACTATCACCACGAGCAGAGTGCCAGCAGGACGGGTCTCACGGTAGCTCGGGACATTTTTCAGACATACTACCCTAAATGTGTCACTATAGCAACAGATACACCATCTCTGGAGCCTTCCTTGTTCCATCTGCTTCCACGCCCCTCTCCCAGCTTTCCTCCTACCCCGCCATTACATCTTCTCTTCTGAGATGGTCTTCTGACAGTGCTGGGGTAGTGCCAGCATCGCACTCTCCACAAGGGTTCCCAATCTTTTATTAGATGTAGGGACCTCCTGAGAGCCAGGGACGCCTTACCTCCAACTGAGGGAAGAGCCTGGAATCAAGACTCGGAGTCAATACTGTCACCCGAACCCATCACCCGAACCCGTCACCCTCCCCTGCCTGCTGCTGTCCACACAAGGAAGAGATCCAGGTTCAGCAGGGTACGGATTGGTCCTAACTGAGACCCACAATGGTCCATACTCTATTTGTAACACAGCTTTTGATCTCCCTAAAAACTGAGCTTAGTCCCCCGCTCCCCAGGAGCATTTTGGATATTTAAATGCCATCAAGGCCATCCTCCACTCTGGAGAGAGTTGTCTCCTCTGGTCTGGTCTGGCCTGCCGTGCTCCACACCAAGAGGGCCCATGTGGAAAGGGTTCCCGTTGGATGCATTCATCATCACCCTCCCCACTCAGGCCAAATGCTCCCCAAAACTGTCCTTTCCACCAGAAGCAGAGATGGTGTCATCCAGGAGAGTCCAGACCTAAGACAGCAGAATCCAGACCTGTCTCTGAGGGTTGGTGACCCAGAAGACAGCAAGTTACATTGGGGACTCCAGGAAGTTCAGGGCAAAAGGGCTCAGTACTGCCCCCTGCTGGCGATTTGAGGCCAGCACCTTCTGGACCATGCTTAACTCCCCAGTGCTTAAAGGCCCAGTGGAAGTCCAGGGCTGTGAATAAAGAAAATGTGAGAGAAGATCCCTAGTCCCATTCTTTCTGCCTCTTCCAAGCATAGCCCCTGGCTGGTTGGGGTATGGATTTGCAAGCATCAAAGTACCTGTATGGCCAGGAACACAAAATCCTTGAGGGGTCTCTTTCCCTGCGCTTTGCGGTCTTTTCCTCCAGTACAGGAGAGAAAGCAAACTTCTCCATCCGTCCTCTGAGGGGGTCTTATCCTCTCCTTGAAGCTGGTCCCTTGGGCCACCAACACCTAACAGCAGGCTCCCCTGTTTGACTGTAGGAACCAGAATATTCTAGCCCTGGATCTCTGAGCTGCACTCGAGACATTTCTCTTACCTCAGGGCACCCAGTTGTTCCCTGTCATAGCCTGACCCACCCTCAAGCCTCCTCCAGCTCCCCAAGATACAGGGCAATCGGCTCCTTGTAAAAAGGGGCCCTACTCTGTGGCATCTCTCCAGAGCCTCCCTGGTACCCACAGCCCACAGCCCAGCTGGGAGAGCTGAGCAGGAGCAGTGGGGCAGCTGGGATGTGAGGCCGACAGAGAGCCACTGGATGCGGGCTGGAGGGAGCAGAGCAGAGTCTAGTCGTCAGCTTTTTCCTCCGGGAGGTCGTCGTCCATCGGCGGCTTGGGCTGGCATCGGAAGTGGTCATTCCAAATCTTCAGGAAGGTGACCCGAAACTTGTGGATGCGGAAGGCGTAGACAATGGGGTTCATGGCTGAGTTGCCGTGAGTGAGGAAGATGGCGATGTAGATGAGGATGCTGGGCTTCCGGCAGGCGGGGCAGAAGAGGGTGATACAGTTCAGGATGTGCAGTGGCAGCCAGCTGAGGGCGAAGAGGAAGAGGATGAGAGCCAACGACTTGGCGATCTTCAGCTCCTTCCCGTAGTACTTCTGTGGGTCACCCGAGGAGGCCGACACCTTCTTGTTGAGCTGCTTACGGATCAGATAGAAGACCTCCAGGTAGATGAGGACCATGAGGAGCAGCGGCGGCAGCACCCAGACGAAGAAGTTGAAGTAGACCATGTACTCCATGCTGATAACCTTCTCGAACTCACACTTGATCACGGGCTCCCCCACGCTACCATTAAGTTCCCAGGCTTGCTGCACCTGACTCAGGTTGTTCCAGCCGAACATGGGTGTCAGGCCCACAACAAGGGAGAGAATCCAGCAGCCAGCTATGGCCACCGCTGCCCGCCGCTGAGTCACCACTGTCTTGTACCTGGAGGAAAAGAAGGACAGGGTGTGAGAGGTGGCTCCTGGCTATATGTGGACCCCTCCCTTGAGGCTCACCTGCCCCTAGGGGCACTAAGAGGAGGCTTGTCCACACCCTAGGTTGTGTGCATGTGTGTGCACATATCACAAAGAGAGTGTGTGTGCATGTGTGTGTACACACACATATGAGAGAGAGAGAGAGAGAGAGAGAGAGAGAGAGAGAGAGAGAGAGAGAGAGAGAGATTGAGAGTTTAGTGTTTAGTTCAGGGGCTTAATATTTAGGATCTAAATTTAGCCCAGAGTTTGTAAACTCTAGCCTCATTTCTCCTCCAGAAGAGGGAGGAAATTCTGAGAAGTGATTAAAAAAATAATAACAGAAGCCAGGTGGGGTCTGTGCAAATCTTTAATTCCAGCACTCAGGAAGCAGAGGCAGGCAGATCTCTGTCTGAGTTTGAGGCCAGCATTGTCTACAGAGTGAGTTCCAGGACAGCCAGGGCTAAACAGGGAAGCCCTGTCTCGAAAAAGAAAAAAGAAAAGGAAAGAAGAAGGAAGGAAGGAAGGAAGGAAGGAAGGAGGAAGGGAGGAAGGAAGGAAGAAGAAGAAAATAACAAAGGGCCTCTTTTAAGAGTTTCAAGCAAATGACCTAAGTACACCTCACTTGTGCCCACCTTGACCCTACTGGTTTCTCACTGCTGGATTCTAACAGCCCTAAGGGTCTAAGGGTGGCAGTGTAAGGACAGCCCACTAGACTGAGGCAGAAAATGGTTCCCAAAGCCACACAGGAGCCCACAGCACTGTCCTGTGCTTCCTAACACATCTCCACTCCCTCAAGGAGCCAGGTGATGAACAAACCAGGAGGGTCCCGAGAATTCTTTCCGCACCGGCCCAAATCTTCTGGTTCTGTTCTGTTCAGCTGCAAGCACCTCCTGCCTCCTTGGCTTCCCGTTCCTCTTTCACAGGTCAGTCTCAAGGACAAGCTCAGCAATGCTCAACTAATTGGGCCTGATTCTCAGGGAAGAAAGCGGGTGTTTGCTGAGCATCTGCTACCCCTTCACACTTCCTCTCGTTCACTCACTGACACATTTGCACGGATGCAGCTCTCCACAGGCATTGATCAGAGGCTTTCTGCTTGGGGCTGTTCTCTGTGCCAGGAACAAGATAAAAGTCTCTGCCTCTATGTAGCGCACACTGCTTATCCTTTTAAAAAACATTATTTATTCTTATTTGTATGTACATTAGTGTTTTGCCTGCATGTTTATCTGTGTAAGGGTATTGGATCTCCTTGAGCAAGAGTTACAGACAGTTGTGAGCTGCCATTTGGTTACTGGGAATTGAACCCCGGTCCTCTGGAAAAGCAGCCAGTGCTCTTAACTGCTGAGCCATCTCTACAGAACCTGTTTATTGTTTTTTTTTATTTTTAAAGATGCATCTATTTTGTTTTATATGTTTGAATGTTTTGTCTGCATGTAATGTGCACTGTGTGTACGTATATAGTAACCAAGGGGGTGAGAAGAGAGTATCTGAACCCCTGGAAGGAGAGTTACAGACGGTTGTGAGCTAAAATGTAGGTGTAGATCCTCTGCAAGAAAAACCAGGGCTCTTTTCACCTGGTCCATCTCTCTAGCCCCTGCTCATAGATTTTTAATTTTGTAAATTACATTTATTGTGCGTGTGTATATGTGTGCATGCACGTGCATGTGTGCGTGCGTGCGTGTGTGTGCGAGCGTGTGTGTGTGTGTGTGTGTGTGTGTGTGTGTGTGTGTGTGTGTACCACAATGTTCCTGTGGAGAACAACTTGGGGGAACCAGTTCTCTCCTTCCACTGTGTGGGTCTTGGGAATCATTGTCAAGCATTACCCACTGAGCCGTCTCACTGGCCCTGTGTAGCTCATATTTTGGATCAAGTGACGATAGGACAACGCAAGGAAATAAGTACACTACACCATGATCTGCTCTTCAAAGCAAAGAGATGCCAAGCAGTAGAGCTTTCAACCTTTTCCAGGTCTGCAGACACAGAAGACACACAGAGCTGACAGCCTCTCTTGGCACTGAGGGTTGAAGGTTTTAGTACTATCCCTGGGGGCTTCCCACTCCCCTTAAACCCACACTATCCAGAAGCCAGCCATAGTGTCCTCTGCCTGCACTCTACCATTGAAGAGAGTGCTGAAGGCTGGGGCCTGCCCAGCTCTGTGCCAAGGAGCTGGCAGAGTGGCTGCAGCTTGCCCAATTGTTATTTTCCGATGCCGTTCCTGAGAGGGCTGGGGTGGCCTCCTGAGCACTGGGCTGTGCAGGAAGGGCTCCAATTGCTTGCTTCTGTCCTGTGCTGGAAGGGTCCTCGGCTTTCTCTTTCTTACACATAGTTCTTCTGGACCCATAAGGATCCACTGACACCTGCCTGCTACTGCAGGCTATGGCGATGAGGAGACAACTGGGAGAAAGCAGATGTCCCTCTGAAAGGCCAGCACTAGGGGGGCTTTGGAACCTCATATCTAATCCCTTTATTCACAACCGTGAGGACCCCAGCCAACTCTAGTGCCTCTAAAGCCCCGACTGCCCCCCACTCTGTGATAGCAGGATGCTTGTGTTCCCAAACTATCAAGAAGGTGCAATGCTGGCTCCTTCCCTGATGCCTCACTCTGCCACTGCAGTGGAAACCATTCTCCTCCCTTATTTCTGCAGCAGAGCAGCCAGGCTGCAGCATCCTTTGTAGTCGGAAGACCTGAATGTGGGCACCGAGTCTGCAGCTTGCTAACTCAATTCCTCCTTCCTGCCTCAGAGGGTAAGGATGATATAAGAGTGAGATAATATATGTTCAAATACTCTGCAAATGCCCTCTTAATACTCTGTAGCCTGAGCTCTTACCCCACCAAGCTCCCAGACAAACACACCTGCAACATCCCAGTGCCTTCAGTAGCTCAGCAAACACAGCCCAAGTGCTATTCAAACAGCTTACCCAGGTCTGGCTCATGGGGATCTCCAAGCCTATCCATCATGGCCTTCCAGACACTGGGAAGCAAGTTCTGGAAAGAATTTATAGGATAAAAACACAGAAAGGCAGATCTCCTCATGGGGTACTAACTTGACCTTCATCTGATGGGAGGTGGTTAGACGAAGGTGAGCCTTCTCCAGACCAGTGGGGGTGCAGGCAGGGTGGGGTCAAGGGTGCGGCTCTGTATCGCTGTGTATCAGATCTTTCCTTTATATCTGTTTTATAGTCTGTAAAGCCATTCACAGCCAGGTCTCTGGGGAACTTCATAACTACACTGTGTGGGCGTGCAGCACGTAACAATTGCAGCAATATGGATTCTAATGTCTACTTTCCCAGATCTCCTACTTCCAAGCCCAAACCTCCTTCAGGACCCAGGCAGGCTAACTGGGTTGTTTAGGTGCAGATGGTGGCAGGTTCCAAATATCTTATGCTTTAGCATGGACCTGTTCAATAAGGGGACCACCCAGAGATGGAGGGTGAGCCAGGTGACCCCAAGTGCTGAGAAGTGGGTCTATCCCAAGACCCACACATGGACACCGATGACAGGGGGGATAAACACTGTCCCAGATGGAAGAGAGGGGCACCCCTCCCCTTTACCCTTCCTGACTGCCCAAGGACGGGGGGGGGGGGTTAAAGCCTTCCTGGGGCTCCTCCAGCACCAGGTCCCAGCTGGCCCTGCAGTACGGGGTATCAGCTCTCATCTGTTTTTCTTGCTATTTTCTCCTTGGTGGGAAAAACGAGACCCAGGACCTTGGCTGAGGTGGGGCAGGCTCTCTGGGGCCCGGGGAGACACTCATCTCCTTATGCCTGGGAATGGGAAGCTGATGCCTGGGTGGGGCCATGGAAAATGTCTCTTTTAAGTCCAGACCTAAGTCCTCACCACCCCAGGGGCCGTGTTGGGGAGTACTCAGCCTCAGACAGAATGTGAAAACAGCATGGCGACAGCTCCTTGGTGATTTAACGGAGGAGACAGACATGGCAGCACTTGCCTATGATCCCAACACTTGGGAAGAGAAGCAGAAGCAGAAAGATCAGAAAGTCAAGGTCACTCTTAGCTACATAGTAAGCATGAGCAAGCCTGGGCTACATGACACCCTGTCTCAAAAAAATGTAACAGAGGACTTTGAGCCGGGCATGGTAACTCACACCTGCACATCCGACCCTTGGAAGTAGAGGCAAAGGATCGTGAGTTCATGGCCAGCCTGGGCTATGGGGTGAGATCCTGCTTCATCACCACCCCCAAATGTAACTCAAGAAACCAGAGAAACAAGGGTAAACCTACCACCTCGAGTGTCTCCCTCACTGGGCAGATTCCCATTATCCTTGAACAGTTCCTCTAGTATTTTGTCTCTACGTGTGTGTGTGTGTGTGTGTGTGTGTGTGTGTGTGTGTGTGTGTGTGTGTGTGTGTACAGGGCACATGTATGCAATTGTTCTCTTCTACTTTGTGGGTTCTGGGAATCGGACTCAGATCATTGGGCTTGGCAGCAAAAGCCATTTTTACTCTCCAAGCCATCCTACGGGTACTCAGCACAGTATCTTTAAAAACCAAGACATTACTAACACCATCGCATGTGTTAGTGGACACCTCCTTGTCAATGGCAATAACAGGAGATGGAGAGGAAGGACTCAGGAAGAAGCCGAAGGTTGTTGTTGGCCTCCTCAGTGTGAGGCAGAGAGGGCAGAGGAAGCCATACTCCTCCCCTGAACATTCACCAGGGCTGCCACATGAGAGGAAGCTAAGCGAGGGTACCCAGAAATAACAGGTAGCCGGTGGATAATAACAGTTCCGTTGCTGCTGAGAGCTGCCATTCATTGCTGTCATTTAAGTGCTGGACATCAGCTTTGCTGGCAGGATTCCACCACTCTCTGCTGGACCCTAAGTCCTATTGTTACCCCCATTTGATGATTCTTATCACGGAGACTCAACCGGACCAGGACACAAGTCCAAGACCTCTCAGCCTGGGAGAAGCAGAGACAGAATTTCTAAGTCTGAGATGGGTGGGTCTACGTCTAAAGC